TCTCTCTCTCCCTCTCTCGCTCGCTCTGCTTCTCTCGCGAGCAGCAGCATTTTGGCTCGGAGCCACGCTCGCCCTGCCGCGCCAGGCTGTAATTATCCCCGGTGAGGCCGCGCTAACACAGCGTGGCGCGCCTGTGGGGAACCGGTTAGCCCTACAACACCGGGGTGGGGGGGCAGCGGTGCGCGCATGTGCGTGCCAGAGCGTGTGCGCGCGCTCGTGATCGTGCGCTGGTGTGGCACAGAGGGAGAGAGAGAGCGGCTTCTGTGTTGATATTTCGGTAGCCTGTATCAGAGCGCATTTCGAGTCCTCGCACGAACCGCGGAGCTTTGAATTGCAGATTAGACAAAAGTGATTTAAAGCAACTGATGGCGGGGCCTTACACTTAGGAAGGAGAGGAAAAGAAAAAAAAGTCACGATTAGTTATTAGATATGCAAATGAGCCCCCCTCCCCCCAGGTGTCCACGCTTTAGCGCAGTCACCGTTTTTAAGGTGAACTCGAACAAAGCAAAACATCAGTGAGTGTGGACTGTCGTGAACGGCGTGCTGCAAGCGAGCATAGATCTATTGATTGCACACGTGCACATGTCCGGGCTTGTGCGTGCTAGCGAGTGTTCAGGCAAGTTTCTGTGTTTGAGTTGCAGTAAGCGATCCATAACGATCTGCAGGTGGATTGTGCTGATTAGTACCGGCTGCTGTGGACTGAGCTGCGTGCAAAGAGCTTCCTGCAATCTGAGCCCGCCTGCCTAACTGGAGTGTGTGCGTTTGTGCGTGCGTGTGTGTTGGCAGTGAGCCCCCTTAAAAAAATGTGTGTCGGCGCTGTGTGGCTTTATGTCTCCGTTTTTAGGCAACTGACAAAACGTGCGCCGAAGGTGCACATGTGAACTCACCATGCGAACTGCGTGTTTTGCCAGGCCGCTGCTGCTTCAGTGTCTGATTGCAACAGCAGATGGCTGGATCGCTGTGACCCCCCAGAGTGCAACACTTTCCACACCAGGATGCATCTGTGTCTGCGCGCGTGTGTGATCACGCTGTTTTGGTTCTTTTAACAAGATGCACACGTTACATGCGTGCTTCTCTGACATGACATAAAATGGCAGTGAGAGGAAGGCATCACGATTTAAAGCGGGATGTTTTTGTCACTCTCATCCACTGAGAGGGTTTTCAAAGGCACATGCTGTTCTCGGGGCTGGCTTTTCATACCGCAAAGTTCACACACAGCCATAAAAGTGAGGCCATTATGAAAAAAGAAAAAAAAGGGCTGGACTTGCTCTCCCCAGACCTGTTTATGTGTCTCCCTCAGACTCTCTGTCAGCGAAGGTGTTTTTCTGGAGCTGCAGCTGTGTGTTTTTGTGTCCAGCGCCAGAAATCTGGTTTGGCCTGCGGTTTCTCCCAGCAATATTCATCCTAATCCAGTTTCCCAGTGAGTGATGGAGAGAGCCACTTGCCATCAGCGCCCCTTGAGTCAGAGCTGGAGGGGAGAGAAGAGAGAGGAGGGTGTGTGCAGTGATGTCTGTCTTTCCAAAATACCCTCTGACTTCCTTTTTCCTGACTCTAGACTCTGTCACGTGAGCACTGTAGGTTTTCCATATTTGTAAACGATAGAGAATTCTTGGTGACTTTGTATTAAATGGAGCCTCATAATAAAGCATACTGTCGGGACGGTTGGACAGTTCTGAAAAGTAGCCCGTCGAATCCCTTTATAAGCCAGTATTTACACTAACAGCACAAACAGCCCGTGCTTTGCTAGGAGATCTCAGGGTTGCCAGGTTGGATCCTACCTGCAAAAATCTGGGCAGCAGAAGTAAATGGGACATATGGTGCAATGTGGCTGAACGTGTAGAGCATGACACTCACTTTGCCAAGGCTAAAGATGGTGTTATATGTAGTGGGGGGAAACAAACGTTGGCATATTTCTTTAGCCTGGAAAGAAACATTTTAGCAGAACCAAAATCTGGCTACAGAGCTACGAGGGCAGTTTGTCACATGCCAGCTGCCGCTTGTAACTACATAAATAATACATCTTAACCAGGATAGTCCAGAATGCGTAGTTTAGAGTCTCGGCTTGCTGTGTTTGATGGAATAAAAAGATTATTGTGCGTCCTGGGCCTTTTCTTCAAAGTGTTATTGCAATTTCGTTACCTCCCTTAGATCCACAGGAAAAGTGGAGGAGAAAGCAAAACACCAGCAGTGACTGAATGTTAAAGTTTATCTTACAAGTCTCATTCAGCCAAGTTCATTATCTTCTTTTTTTCTTAAGAAAGACTCAAATATTGCCTAATTCTTCTATTCTTGTTTAATGTAATCCATTCATTGTCATGCTCCTAAAACCAACATGAAAAGTCTATTGGATGGTGTGTGTTATGTGTTACACACAGTCCCATCTGTCAGCAGCTCCTGTTCAGCCTCTCCTAAAGTGAGGTATTTGAACGACAAGCTACATCCTCGCCAGCTGGTGAAATAGGAGTGGGCAACAGCTCCTGGGAAACCGTGACGTGAACCTGCTCTGTGGCAGTGAAGCTTTCTGTCATCGTTAACCTTCAAGGTCAAAGGTGCCAAGCATGCGGCCTGTGGGCTCAGAAGTGGTCCGCTAATAGGTCCAAATCTGTCCAAAGTGTGAAGCTTTCTAATGAAAGGCAGAGGAGGATGTCAGGACTTCTCATTGCATTTTTCTTTTTCCTGCACCAGGAAGTGTTGTGTTGCAATCCAAACAAGAGGTCTGAATCATTTTCATTTTTCAAACTTTCCTGCTTACAAAGATAATAACCACGGCCTACCATAGCAGTGGTTACACCATAGGGCCGTGCCCACGTGTTTCACTGGGTCACAATGGTGTTTCATTGTAATGAGAGCAAAGAGCCCATCATACTTCTGTTTCTTAACTGTTTCTTCTGTTCCTTCTTTGTGGAACCAGCTCCCAGTTTGGGTTTAGGAGATAGACACACTCTCTGCTTGTAAGATTAGGCGTAAAACTTTCCTTTTTGATAAAGCTTATAGTTAAGGTTGGATTTGGTGACCCTGAATCCTCCCTTAGTTACACTGCAGTAGGTCTAAGCTGCTGGGGGCTTCCCACGATGCACTGAAAATTTCTTCTTCACCCACCTCTTTTCACTCACTACGTGTTTATACTGCACTTTCTGTGTTTTCAGTGTGTCTTTGTACTGTCTCTCTCCCATCACACCAAACCAGTTGCAGTGGATGGCTGCCCCTCACTGAGCCTGGTTCTGCTACAGGTTTCTTCCTGTTAAAAGGGGTTTTTTTTCTTATCACTGTCACCAAGCTCTTGCTCATATGGGGATCATCTGATTGTTAGGATTTTCTCTGTATTATTGTATTATCTATACCTTACAGTGTGAAGTGCCTTTAGACACCTGCGCTTGTGATTTGGCCTTATGCAAACAAAATAAAACTGAAGTGGATAGAGCCCACTCTAGATGAAATTTTAGTTTATGTTCTAAATGTGGCCCGTGAACTTAAATGACAACTTAAATGTCAGAGTATGGCTTCATTTTGCAGTCACATCAGTAGTGATTTGATTGGAGTCTTGTTGCAGCAGCTTTAGAGTTATGTCAACAACAGTGCATGACTCAGTCCCGTGCTACTTTATCTGATAAAAGCTGACTCAGATTTAGATTTCTTTGCCAGACTTTTTCTGCTTCTTTATGAATGTTTTCCTGTCTCTCTTCTCTCACCATCAACTGCTCAAGGCAGACAGCTTTCCCCTCCCCGAGCCTGCTTCTGACAGAGATTTTTTCCTGTTAAAAGGGAGTTTTTCCTTCTCGCTATTGCCAAGTGCTTGCTCACAGGGTATCATCTGATTGTTTGGCGCTTTCTCTTTTCTTTTGAAGGTCTTTATCTTACAATATAAACTACCTCGAGACAACTGTTCTTATGATTTGGTCCTGTATAAATCAATCTACATTGAATTGATTATACTTTTTCAGGTTCTGCAGGGCAACACCTGGTGCGTCAGTGGACAAGCATCATTTAAGTGAAGCAAGGCGTTTCCTTTTTTCACGCTATGCTGAAATTATTCTGAATGCAGCCTTGTTGTACAGCAGCACCAGCATAGACAGTTCACTAACTCAAGCTTTTTCATTTGTCTGAAGACACACAGGCGAAAAAGAAGTGTTAAAAAAAGTGTGTCTGGTTGTACATATGTGGTCATAAAATGAAGGAAGGAACTGCAGAGAGGTTTAACCAGCTGAGACTGAGCAGAGTAACCCGCCTACCCCACTTCTTGCCAGATGTTGGCTGAGATGCACGATTTTATAGGTTGTTGACCAAAAAAAAAGAGAAATAAAAAGCAATTAAACCATTTTTCCTATTGATTAAACATTTCAACGCGAATGACAATGATTTTAACACCTCGCAAACGGCGCTTTCACATCGAGTTGGTTAAGCGTGAACACGGGGCTCAGCTGTCTTGTGGTTTAGCAGCTGTGGTTGCAGTGGGATAGGTCTCATTTTTGAGAGGTACAGGTGGAGCTGATCAGAGCAAACGTGCCCGGCAGTTCACCCTGAAGTTATTTAGGTTTGGGAGAAAAAAAATAAAAAAATTAAAGGCTCTTTAAATTGCCTGCAATAGAAACTTGCACCATGGGTTTTTCACCTCGAGTTATGTCCAGCCTGAAAAAGCACTGCTCTTGTCGCGCACCCAGCTACCTTTTCTTTTCATTTCACAGAAGAAGCCCTTCTCTCAATTCCACGTGCTCTGACGCCAAACTTTTGGCCTTTGCGATGAGTTGAGCTTCTAAACGCGTCCATATGTGAATGCTCTGTGAGCTTTGTTTATTTGTGTGTGACTGTCTGGTTTAACTCCTACTTTCAACAGCTGTGGCAAATGCAGCCAGACCTTCCATTGCCAAGTCTCCCTCTTTTCCTACTCCTACTCTGCTTCTGTCTGTCTGTTTTTCTGTCTGTGTGTCTGTCTGTTGGCTTTCCTCTCTTTCTGCCTGGAGCTCTCTCTCTCTCTCTCTCTCCCCTACACACACACACACACACCCATGCAGGCACACGATCCACACACCTCAGGCTTGATATTCATAGCCTCCTCCTCCTTTACTTGACATGGGAGCCTTAACAGATGTGCCCCAGCCTTGAGCAGCTTCCCCCTCTCTCCCCCTCTTCTCTCTGTGTCTTTACTGCCTTGTGCTTCGCTGATTTTACCTTATCTCATCTCAGGGAGAAAACGGACCAAACTGGCATTTAATTTGAAAATAAAACAGTGGAGTCAAAATTAGAACATTCACGAAGAAGTGGATGAAATAAGGAAGCTAAGAAGATGCTGCTGTTAAAAACATAACCCCCCATGTATGTGTGGTTAGGTTAGAGTATCGGGCCATCTTAATTACCTTCACTCAATCAAGAGGCAGAAACTGATTTACATGCATATATGTAACTTTTCGTTATGTCTCTTTATATATTTAAACATAAATGTCCCTGTATCTGTTACCAAACTGCACATTGAGATCTAGAAACCCAAGTTCTTCATTGAACTTTTCCTTTAGTCAAATACCTATTTTCATTTTTCATCACTGAATTATTCTCGGTTAAAACCTCAGCTATTCCTGTTTTGGAGTTTCGGCAGCTCTCGTGTGTGTGTGTGTTTCTGTGTGTGTGTCTCTTTGCGCGTGCGCGCGCAGTGAGTGCCGTGAGCTGGAGGCTTATGGTAATTGCGGTCTCCCGACTGGCCTTCTGGGTAGAGCTGCGCGAGTGGGAGTGGAACGAGCCGCACGGTCTCGGCAGCGCTCATCCATTCTGTGCGGCACTCCCCGTACAGCTCCGTGCGTCCTCGGTGCGAACCGAGGGCTCCGACCGGGCTGTTGTCTACGATCCTCGAAGGAAACGCGCGGGACGGAAAGCTACGCGGAATAACCTTCAGCAAACCCTCTGCGACACAGATTCCGCCGTCGGAGAGGACATGGAGTGACGGAGAGCTGGAGAAAGGGGCTTTTTCCGAGGACGGCGTGCTCCGCTGAAACCCAACATGGCGCTGCTGCGCGGTACGGCCGAGCTGAATTAATTTCTCCGCGATTCCGCCGACCTCGTCACCTGTATCCTTCAGGGGTCCGGGCCATACGGCGCAGTGCTCTCCGACTTAAAGGACCTTAACGGATTTTCTTTAGTGGATTTCTCTGTATCCTGCCGTTTGTTTTTGCTCGGCGCAGGATCTTTTTTTGTTTTTGCTTTATGGAAACCCAAGTGACATTTTCAGCAGCAAAAACTCCTCTTGAAACATAGTGGAATGGAAGAGAGCTGCTTGTAGACAAAAGAATAAAGACCCAAAGCTTTATATGTAAGACTTGTTTTGTTTTATGACAAGTGAGTAACCTGTTAGGCACTTTTAGTTGTTTTTTTTCTCCCTCTGGCCGGGATCGTCTGTCTCCAGCGGACAGGACCGTGACCGGGCAAGTCTACGTACGCACGGATCGCTGCCCTTCCAGTTAACTTGAGAAAAAAAACAGGGGGGGAAAGAAGAAAAGAAAAAATAAGGCGTGAGTCGGGGCGCGCTGAGCACGGTTGGAACTTGCACCAATTAACCAGGTGAGGCAATCAATGGCAAATCAGAACCTATTTTCCTTAACGTGTGTCTTTGATGTGAAATCCCTCGCGTGACGATCGAAACGTGTAGCGCTGTTTTTTAATGGCAGTATAACGTCCAAGGTGTTTTAAATTATCCTGTGTTTTCATGTGGTGTTTTTTTTTAAATTAAAAACAGTCCCCTCGTGGGGCTGAATCTAAGCGCGATCGTCCAGTGTTGTGCGCAGACTGGGGAGAGGATCGGCCACTTCTAAGAATAGCGCATAGGGTGGTCTTTGTGCGTTTCGGCGGGGCAGTGGCATGTGGTTGATAAATAACACACACACACACACACACACACACACACACACACACACACACACACACAATTATCCGAGCATGAGTTTGTCCTTTTAACAACTGCCCTGTCAAGCTGATAGAGGTGAGAAGGACATCCCAGAGATTAGCGAACTTGAAAGTGGCGCCGTCCTCGAAGGTGACTATTCAGGCTTTTCGCACCCTGTTGTGTGACGAAGAGCGCGAGTGTGCCTGTGGGGCTGAGGGTAGGTAGTGTGTGTGTGTGTGTGTGTGTGTGTGTGTGTGTGCGCGTGTACGTGCGCGCACACGGGAGCTTCTGCGCTAAACAAGGTTACGGAATCCAGCCTCGCCCTGCCAAAGGCGAGCGAGCGCTGCTGCTCCGTTTATGCACAGTTCAGTTCAGTTGGAGGGCATCCCCGCGGTGTGTGTGTGTGTGGGCTGTTGGTGTGCCGCGGAGTGTGTGTGTCGCGGGGGAGGTTTGGTTTGGACGGAGTGGACTGATAATCTCTTGTCTCATCAAAGGTATAGCGCTGGGGGAAGAGACGGGACGCGGGGGCTGCACCGCTCACCTTCGTGTCTACTTGATGGAAACCTCTTTGTCTCTCGCTCTCTCCCCACTCACACGCCGAGTCTTGCAGGTGTTTTCGGATATGACTTTGCGTTACACTCATACAGGCACACTTGCTGTATGACTAGGCTTTGCAATGCAGGGGATTATTCTTTGCGCACGGAGACTCGTCGTAGCGCCAGTTTGGATCTCTCCCCCCCTTCCTACCATCTCCACCTCTCCTCCTCCTCCCGGAGCTCCGATACGCGCTGCTCTCTTGCACAGAATGTGTCACCGGGATGCTTTCACTTAGAAAAAAAACCCCCAAACACTTAATAATAATAATAATAATAATAAACTTCCCGTAATTATCGGTTTCTTTCTCTCTTCCCCCCCCCCCCCCCCCCCTACACACACACACACACTCCACTTCACTGACTTACACTGCGCTAACTTTAAAAATCGTTTTCGCCACCCTCCTCACGCTGTTGTGCGCGACGTCAATCGGCGCGATCCGCTTCTTCCACTATTGCAGTTTAATTGAAAATAAGCGCCGCGAGGCGCGTTGGATGCGTTCCAAACTGAGTCGTCTTTTACCTCGCGATTCTTTGAAGCTCCTCTGTGAGCAACGCAGACTGCGTTTCACGCGCGTTTATGCGAAGTGGGGCTTTTTGTTTTTTTTCATTTATTAGAAGGTTGATGTTATCGGACCACATTTTCCACCGCAGACAAGACGGTGAGAGAGATTCGTATCTGGGGAGTTTTCCTTCCGTGCTGCCCTGCCTGCTGCCTGTCCTGGAGCCACGCATGCACTAATTAGGGGACGCTCTCTTAGGACGATCGATGTGCCTCATATTGGCTGGCTCCAGCTCATTGACGAGCTGAGTGAGTGAAGCAGCTACTGAAAAGACCACTTCAGCCCCCAGCAGCCAACCCGCGCAGGATAAACGGTCGAAGAAACGCTTGCAATAATGCGAACGTCTGACGGCTGCCGGCAGGCTGCAGGAGCAGGATGGGACACTGTAAAGGGGTGGGTGTGTGGGTGGAGGGGTCAGTTTCAGGGGGCTTTGAGTCAGAATAAAAGAGCTGTTTATATATAAATTAAACGTCGGTCTTACTTGGGATGGCAGAGAAAAGATGGACAACTGGAAGGCATTTATTTGAAGTTAAATGTGACTTTGCGTGACAGTGGGGCTAATTGGTTACTGAAAGGGTATTTTTAAGTTTAACTTCTATTATAATTGAAATAACTGTTCAACAACTTTTGCTTGTGTGTTCAGTGATGATCTCAGGTTTAGTCCGACTTGGGGGTTTTTTTTTTCTCGGTGTCCAAATAAAAGTTGAGCACGGATTTCATTGGGCCCCGTGGAATAAACACTATCTGCACAAACTTGGACGGCTGCTTAGTTTGATTCATCTGCAATAGAGTCTGGTTCCCAAGCGCTGCGCGCCGTGGAAGCCTAAAACAAATACTTCGCATTTGTGTGGGCCGAGTTTATTTTTAGCGAAAGCTCGTCGGACTGTTTTGCGCATCATTTTTCCACTGTGCGCCGCGAAGTCAGTGTGGGACTGATCTGTTTTCCAGGTGTCGGAACACAGAAAGGGAGGGCTGCTTTCGCTAGATTGACATACTTGAGTTTTCTCTGTTTCACACAAGAAGACTTCACACTTCTTCCACAAACAGTGTTGTATTGCCAAGGCCCATTAGCTGTCAGAGTGCGGTTCAGTGCCACCCCCCTTTAGCAAAACAGGATTGCATCTGGTGCTAATTTTATTAATTAGACATCATTTAGAATCAGAAACGTGCAAAGAAAAGAGGGGGTTTATTAATTACTTTCACCTTTGCCAGCGTCACCTCGCTTGCATACGTGCAGCCAATTCATGTGCAGGTTTTTAATCAGCAGAGGTGGGGAAGTGATGTGTGAAGCATTAAAGACATTTGAGCAGGCAGACGTGGAGAAATCCGCAGTTGTAAAAAGCACAGAGGTCCGTGGGCGCACAGTTCACCTGGAGGCAACAGCAGCCTCGGGGACTGCCGGACTTATTGTCCCGCTGAATGATGTGTGACAGCGTGTCAGCGTATTGCCCCGCAGGGGGGCTGGAGATCTGCTTGCCTTTAAGAGAATAGAAACAACCCTCATCACCTCCATTTTAAACCAATTAACCCCCCCGGTGTTTGTCCGCTTCTAATCCGGAATCAATAGGGAACACGCGGGGAATATTGTGAGCAGAGAGAGCGTGTCATTACAATCACGGGACCCGCTCCTGCTTATCAAACCTTCTGAGCTCTAAATAGTCCGGGGGGGAATTCGTCAAAAGAAATGCCCTGTGTCCCGGTAAACATCCAGACAGAAATATGAAGGCGCTCTTATTCTTGTCGCGCTCCTTTGTGTGTGTCTGTGTGTTTGTGTGTGTGTGTCTCTCACACGCATGGATATAAAACAACAGGCTCGTCGCTGCCGGCGCTGCACTCGCTGCTGAGGCGAGATGCGTGTGAACAAAAGCGGGAGGCACGGCAGAGAGCCGAGGAGAGATCGGTTTTCCAGGCGCTGCGCAGCTCCCGGAGGAGACGTCACGGTTTGATTGAAGCTATGCTCCATGCTGGCCTCCCGGGACCTCGCGATGAAACGGGAGAACCCACCCTCCCCTCCGCCTTTTCTCCCCCTTTCCCTCCTCCTCTCCCCTCTCCACCCACCTCTCGCTCTCTCTCTCTGAGAGAGAGCTTTTTGTTTCGACGAGGTCTGGAGCTCACGGGTCACTTACCCTCCCACCCCCTCTCTCCACTGCTTTACCCAGAGAGAGAGAGAGAGAGAGAGAGGGGGGCACATAGCATTATTCTTTCCTCTAGCAGCTGCTTTCTGGCGCCGATGACCCAGGGATGTTGGTTTAATAGCGATTTTTTTTTTTTTTAGACATTTGCTTATTTTACAGCAGCGATCGCTGATAAATGTCATCAGTGGTGGCTTAATGTAACGTGAACGAGTGGGGGGGCTGTAATTAAAGTCTAAATCTCACTCTGAATGGATTTAGTTTGCTGACCTCGCTCTGGCCCGCGGTGTGATTGATTTAGCGGCAGAGTGATGATGACACACCTCACCTCCTTCCTCCCTAGTCTCTGCAGGCTCGGTCTTGAAGCTTTTTTTTCCTTCTCTTTTTTAGACCGCGTTGCGCCTCGGGCATCTCTGACGAAATCCCACAGACTCTTGGCAACGCAGCATGTTAATAGCGACAGGAGTTTATTACGCCGACAGTCTTCAAAGCCAGGAATGCGTCATGCGCTGTCTGCACGTAACATCGCACGAGCCTGTGTCGGCCGCGGAGCTTCTGACCTCGAGGTGGGGAGGGTGGTCACGTGGGTCGTACCGTGAGGGTAAACACTTAATTGTTTCAGCAGAGATTGTCTGGCCTAATTTACAGGGCGCAGTTAATTAAGCAGCGCGTATGAAAAGAGGCAAAACATACTCTTGTCTCCGTTTGCGCGAAACACTTTGGAACGTCAGCCTTTGGAAAGTAGCGAACAAATAGAGGGCACATGAAAGAGGATCATTCCTTCATCATCATGTGCTTTTATCAGAAACACATGAAAGCAATGCCAGCGTTTCCAAAAACCTCCGGTAAACGCGGGCCGGCTCGTGCATGCGCATCTCTGTTACAATCGGGTCCTTTGGTGGCATAAAGAGCCATTTAGTCCTCATTTGGCCTGGGATGAATAGAGCCAGTTCAGCAGCCGCCGCCCGAGCCCTGGTGACAGCACTGGAGGGAGAGCGAGGGGGAGGGGGGCTCACAATGTCGCCGTTGTTGACGGCCGTGTTGCTGCGGGGGGGAACTGAACCGTGCACCGACTTGCGTGCGGCTGTGCAGCGGCCCGGGAGGACGCGGGGGGCCCTTGTTTACAACTGCGCCGCTAATAATGTGACAGCTGAAGAGGCGCCGCCATCTCTCCTTCCAGCTCCGCGCTCCGGCAGCAGCGCGCCTCTCCTCCGAGTCCCCGCACAACATTTATCTCCTCCATCTCCTGCTCACTCCCCCCTCCCCTCCCTCCACTTTGCGCTCACAGCTCTGTTAAATCTGAAACTACAGCGAGAAACAGCGTGTCAGCTTTCCATAGATTGCGCAGCCTGCGTTGAGATGATCAATTGGTCCATTTGGCACGCGTCGGCTCGATAATCAATAACCATTAAAATTGGGCCGGCGTTCTCTTCCGAGGTTTTTTTCCCCCCTTTCCCGGCTCATTACGGTGCTGGGTGTTAATGCTGGGGATCGGGTGACCTGAGGCTGTGGAGTTTGTAGCCAGACTGTAGTTGCTGTTCACGTGTTTTGCCGCAGATGTTCTCCGCTGTGTGCGCAAAAAAATTCCTTTCGTTTTGAGTGCGCGTAAACACACCGCCGTCACGGTGATCCCGTGTGTGTGGTGGTGGGGGTGCGTGTGCGTGCGCGCCCGCATTTAATCCATGTTTATCCCCACCCCACCCCCGTCGCTGCGGCGATTATCCTGCGTCACAGTGCATTTTTTTTTCTTTTTTTTCCAAAGCTGATCGCAGCTCTGCCGCTTCAGAGAGTCTGGCAAAGCTCCAGGGACAAAGAACGAGAGGGCGCCTATGTAGCCTACATTCTCCCCCGGCGCACAGCAGAGACCCGCCACCCGGTTTCCTCGTTTAGTCTGAGAGAAATTCAACAACAGGGTCGCGCGGCGGGCTGATCGTAAAAACGGAACAGCCGTGCTTAATATATGCCCCAAGCTCTTTCACTGAAACGTTTCTAGGCGGTCATTTATCAACTTTTAAAAGGAGATGAGGCCTGTACACGCGCGCGCGCGTTATTGGTATGCACACAACCACTGCGCTGCGCGGGGAGAGGCCTCAGCCCTGGAGGAAATGATGAGTGGTGCCGGCGTTTGTTCTGGTGCGCCTGCCGCGGGTCACTGAGAGTTCAAGTCGCTGTCATCGGAGACGGGAAACAAAGGAGGGAGAAGCGGGACTGTCTTCTGGCTCTCCTCTCCTCCCTCTCTCCTATTTTTTTTCATCAGTCTGTCTCTTCGGCTTTGTTTACAGCTGCTCCGTTGAAACGCAGCGCTGAAACCAGGTTCCGCTAAAAAACACCCGGTGGTTTTCAGTTTAATGGTGCGCGTCGGGGCTGCGCTCCAGCGGTCTGGTTTATAAACGCAGCAGCACAGACCGCTGCCCTCCCCTCCTCCGCCTGCTGCAGGCCAGCGTGATGGATTGGACGGCCGTCGGGAGTTGTTTGTTGCGCAAACTATTCTTAGCCAGTGGGGTTAGGCGTCAACACGCTGCCTTTTCCCTTCTCTCCCACCTCCTGCTTTTCTTTTCATTTTTTTCTTTCCATCTATCCACTTACAGTGAGAAAGTATGTCAGGACTTACTCCCGGAAAATCCTCAAACACCTATTTTACAGGGTTCTAATGACACCTTATCTGCTCGCGTCGTGATAGCCTGTGGGCCCCGATTTAATCTTTTCCTGCCTGCACACGCGATGTGGATGTGAGCTGAGCAGCAGGTTTTAAAGCGTCTAAAACAAACACCAGCCCATTTATCATATTAACATGAACATATGACTATATATCCCACTAATGTAGGAGGCAGAATGAAAACTTTAGCGTTTTCGTGCAATTCTGAAGTTCATCCGGGAGACAGTCCGCAGACACGCATTCTCCCTCTCAGCGTTTATCAGGTGCCTCATCCTGACTTTTGCCCCGATACAACCTCTTATCTCGGCCCTGGTGCTGCTCATTTCATCTAAAAATAGTCTAGGTAGAGATAGTACTGTCATAAAACGCTCGATCTCCAAGTTGCTGTTTTTTCCTTCCAGAGAAGCTCAGCAGATTTATGTGTTTATGATAGTTTTCTTCCATTTGGACAGAAACGCTGGTAAAGGTTTGGAAGAGGGTGTTTTGTGTCCGCTGCTGTTGTAGCTGTTTGCTCTGGTTGAGCGCAGACTTTTCAGTGCAAGCGCAACACGATCCGCTTTTTGAGAGCGGCACGCAGAGAAACGCGCTGAGGAAGGAGCGGTGTGATTTCTGAACAGCGTCCCCGTGCACTGACGAAACTCCTGCAGCTGAACACGTGGTCGTGCACACGTGCGTATACACCGTCTCGCTTGTGCCCACGAACTCTCACACACGCTACCCGTTTCGCTTCCGACGCGGATGATGTTGACGGTGGACTGGCGGCGGAGCTGTGGCTTAGGGTGGTGGTGGGGGAGGATGGGACAGGGAGAAGCCGTGTCGAGGGGCCCACAGCAGGCTGATTAATGTGCCCCGGGTCACGGCAATAAAAGTGGCGTGCCAGCGAGGCGCAGAGGCGTTTTACTGCAATGATCGAGGGGCCGTGTTTCTCTGCAAAGCTTCATTTTCCCCCTCTTTAAAGCCTCTTCTCTCTCACCGTCTCTCACCGCACTCCTGTATGTGCTTGCTTACCACGGCTGCCCTTCAGAAAAAAAAGATTTTATTTTATTTTTACCGTAATTAGGGATCGAGTCAGAATTCAAAGTAAAATATTTCCCAAATCGTGAAAAGGGGATCAAATTTAAACATTTTTTTTCATCCTTTCATCTGTTTGATGGTTTTATTTCATTTTTAATCTTTTAGGGAAAAGCTGTTAAGATACCACATGACCCGTTAAGGGTCCGAAATATTTCATTAATATCTCTATTTTGACATTTGCGCATTTAAAATCTTTGAAACCGTGTGTGTGTGTGTGAGTGACACATTGTTTTTCAGGGCATTGTGATGTCACTCAGGCAGTAACGAACATGCAGGGTTGACGCCGGTTGCAACTGCTCTTTTAAGAAAAAGTCCTCGCTCTTCGGAAAGTTTCTGTACATTTGCTTTCGCAGCAGTTTAATTAAATTAGGCGTGTTTGGTTCTTTTCCCCCTTTTGAAATCGAACTCATCAGCACCCAGCTGAGAAAAGCACAGGTTTAGCAACCAGTTGTTGAATCTGTTGTCTTCAGAATTTGTTGCAGTAATGAATAATTGATAACCATCCTCTTGTAACTTCTCACATTTTCCCTGTCATTACAAAAATACAACAACAACCCTGTTGTACTCTGGCGCTTTAAGAAAATTCTAATCTATACTAAACAGAAGACATTAAAGGACGTTTCACACAAACGGGGGTCTTATGAAGATTTCTTTTTCTTCTTCTTTTTGTCACTACCTCTGGGGTTTAAAAAAAGTTTCCTATTGTCAACTTAATTTTTAAAATTTATGATTTATTTTTCAAATCTATGGTTTATTAAAAATTTTGCACAGTCGTCTCTTTTCTCTTGCTGTCTGATATTCTTTTTGTGTGCTTGTGTGTGCGTGCGTGTTCTGGTGTGAGTGTTTGTTGATCTGAAGCTCTGTGTTGGCGGGTGGTAAATGGTCTCCCACCGAATTGGTCTGTGATGCATAATCTTCCCTCGCTCTGCTGGCTGAGGCAGCCGAGGGGGCAGGTCAAAGAGGGCATAGAAAAACCAGTGTGTGAGGAACGTGACTGAATAGATGCAGCTTCACAGTGCACGTCTAGCCCAAGGGTGGGCAGGTTGGGGGTAACGGGAGGGGGATATGGGGATGGGGGAGATGTTGACAGATTAGAAGGGGCGGGAGTGGGGAGCCCACACTGTGCTTTCATCTCTAGCAAGCGCTTCAGTGGACAGTGCCATTTTGTTGCTCTTGCCTCGTTTCACTTGCACATCCCTGGACTGCGTTTAATCCCTGTTTAGCAGAGACACATTTGTTTAAGTCTTGGTAAGAATTAAAATGTGTTTCCTCTTTTGAAATCTTATGAACTCGCTTTTTTGTAATTGCTTGTTTGGGTTTTTTTTGCTTTTGCAGCAGCATTGCAACACAGCTGCGGTGCATGCCTGCATGTGTGTGTGCCTGTTTGTGAGTGTGTGTGACGGAGCCAAGACACTGACAGCTAACTGTTTGCTCATCTCCACAGGGCAACATCTGTTCGTGATGTCGATGCTGAGGCACAAACCAACCTGGAACTAAGACAAGGGAACCATATCGCACGAAACATGGCAAGTCCCCGTGCTCATCCCCATGTACAGATTGTACTCATTTGTCGAATAAGTCACTTTAGCAAAAACAAGCCAAGATTTTCTTTTTCAATCTTTAGTAGTATTTTTTTCTTTTGTTTTCGTGCTGATGTCAGGATAGTTTTATTTTTTATTTTATTTTATTTTTTTTGTGCTAATATATACTTTTTCCTTTGTTGCTGCAGGTGGATGCAAGGTTGACGCCCCTGGCAGCAATGGGGCTGGACCGAAGCACTCTTTTACACGATGGGCTTCATCTCCATGGTGGGGTTGTGTATCCAGGGATCAGAGCACTTCAGGCAGAGAAGGGCAGAGAGGCGCCTGCACTTCCACTTACTTATAACAGGGATGGACTCCCAGAACTCATCTACAAGCCTGATGGCCCTCTGGACAGTCGTAAGACGGCGAATGGATACCTAGGCCTCTATAAGGGCGCTCATCCAAGTCTCCACAAGCCCGTGCTGGTTCCTGGAGCCGAAGGTCTCGGCTTGGAACGCAGAGTAGGGCCTGGAGAGAAAGCATCGGAACTGGGCTTGGCAAGTGCTGGTGGCAGCTACCTCCGCATGCCATGGCTCAGCCCTTACCCCGAAGCGAGCATGTATCCCTTCATGGACACATCCAAGTATGCAGCTCTAAACATGTACAAAGCCTCTTTGCTCAGCCAACCCAACCCCTATCTTCCCCAGCACCTGGCCTATCCTTCTCTGTGTGCAGCCCAGGGAGGCAGTGTTACCCCTGCTGCAGCGGTCTCTGCTGCTGACAGGCTCTATTATATGCCTCCCTATCCTGCTTCACCTATCTCTTCACCCCTGGTGGCACCACCTATGAGGATTCCTGCAGTCACCGTGGCCCCAACATCACTGGTACACTGCCAAGACAAGGGGCTTGGTGTTGCACCTCCATTTGCACAGCAGCTTCACCAACCCTCACCTCTTTCTCAGCACCATCAAGCTTCTATAGACAGGGACCGCTCACCTAACAGGAGTATCAGACCGAGCAGACCTCCGTCCAGGAAGGGCTCTAGCAACAATATTAATACAAGTAGTATTATTACTAGTGGTATCAGTAGTCTGCCTACTGATTCCTCTCCTCGTGTTTCTTCTCGCCTGCCACAACCTCCCCTTCCTCCTGCTCTCCTCGACAATTCACTGGATTTGCAAAGGCCGGTTGCCAGGATAGGGCAACCGGTGTCATCCACTTCCTCAATATCTGCCTCATCCACATCCGCACAGTCCATTCCTCTTACGTTCTCTGTTAGCAGCATGGCATCAGAGCAGCCCTCTCCTGCCCGACCCAGCTCCCACAAATCAAGGCCAAGAGATGGGGCCCCTGAACCCAGAAATGCAGGAGTTGAGAAAAGACCCAGCAGGTCTCCCTCCAAAGCCAGCTCTGAGAGACCAGCTCACCAACCACAGGCAACCAAAGACCCAGCAGAGAAGCCTTTGGATTTGTCTGGAAGAATGCTAGACTTTGGATTGCCCTCCAATGGATTCCCAGTTAAGATGGACACTTCAGGTCCACGTTATGGACTTCCCCCTAACAGAGAGCTCTTAAAAGAAAACCTTTCCCCTTCTCCCCATCCACATTGTGTGGTCAGCAGCACTTCTTCAAAGGTCTCAGACAGACCAGAGATGATCAGCACTTTACACTCCACCTGGGTCGTACCTAGTCCATCACCTTCTCACGCACAGCACACACCGGGCCTGCCCACCTCCCCGAGACCTAATACAGACCTGGGTCTTTCACAAACTAAAGGCTCTTCACCCTCTGTTATCAAAAATAAAGGTCTGGAGAGAGTACTCCCTCAGCAACGTAGCTCATCCTGTCCAAGGATAGAAGAGCCCAACCACTCCTCGACTCAACCATCTGGCACTTCTGTGGTCAACTCCAGGGCTCTTTCTCCCAAACATAATGGTGAGTGGGTCAAACACAGCCCCAGCCAGTCAGAACATCCACCAGCTGCGGGTCACCACAGAGAGGGAACAGAGAAGCCCTCCCAGACCAGTAAGAGAGCTGAAACAACCCCAGATGTGCCATCTTACAAGAGGCACTGTGTAGAGAACGGTCATCCTCCTGGCCATCTTTACCTTCCACAGAATGAGGCTTATCTAAACCACAGCTTGGCTTATGCCAACAGATACCTACCTTACCCCATCACAGACAACATGACAATACATTCTGTGCCAATTGGAGGAAAAGGCCCAGTTTACCCTCACCCAGTACTGCTGGGCAGCAACAGCCTTTATCCAACCCACCTGGCAGCAAAACACCCTTTACCATACCACAATCTCCCTGGTCCAGGAGGAGAATATCTCACTTATAACTCACAGGAGATGGCCCATCCCTTGATGCAGACACACTCTGACAACAAGCTGGCAGAAAGGGCAGATGCAACACTGAAGTCCCGGGGACAGGAGAAATCTCGGGGAACTGTTGAAGAAGGTGGAAGCCACAGAGATAACAACAGTGGGAAAGAGATAGGCGAAGGAAACCAAATGAAGCCTGACAGGGAAGCTGGAGCACAAGGACAGTGTGGCAGTCAAAGCAAACACCCCTCTTCCTCTTTAACATCCAGAGAAAAGATTGTCTGCATTGACCTTGTACACTCAGACACAGATATGGAGACTACATCATCAGGCTACAAACAACATTCTGCCGAGACCAGCACCAAGGCTTCCCAAAATGAATGTTGTCATAGTAACCAAAATCTCACAAAGACTGAGTATGAACCAAAACACCACCTTTCCCTTCCTTATCCAATCCACTCCAGACAGAGCCCTAACCTTAAGCCCAACCACAGTGACAGACAACCAGAAGCTCCCTTTGGGAGAGCAGAGGTTCCCCAGGACACTGGCTGTGCTGGGGCAACATCTAGCATATCCCCAGCTTCTCCGTGCCTGGTTGCCCAAGCAGAGGAGAGCTGTGAGGAGCAGAGCCCCAGCCCAGACCTTGAAGACCAAGATCAGAGCACCTTGCGCTGTGCTCGAACATCAGGGGAGCGCAGCTCTGGTAGGGACAAAGGGGACAGGGGGGACAGCAGAATTTCTCGCCTTACACAACACTGCACAGATATGGTGAAGAAATCAGACCTGGAAAAAGTCCCCAAGAGAGAGACTGAAAAAGAAGACAGTATTGTTGACCTGGGGGAGTCTCAGGGAGAAGGGGATGAGGAAGAAGACGGTAGCCAGACTTCATCTAAAAACTCTCGTAGATCCAGCCTGGCCAAAAGGATTGCTAACTCCTCAGGCTACGTTGGCGACCGCTTTAAATGTGTCACCACTGAGCTATATGCTGACTCGAGCAAGCTGAGCCGTGAACAGAGAGCTCTGCAGGTAAGGCTGCAAACAACTGTGCACGTTTGTGTATACATGCAATACGTAATGAACTGGGTTTAAGATAATTGATGGGATGGGGAGAGGTTGTTATGAGCAACTTTTCTTATGTGCAGACATTTCAGACATACTTTGATTTCTAACATCCACACAGGAATAAAACCTCAAAGGCCACTCTCAGTTTTCCCCTGCTGCAATATTCAGATCAGCCTATAGAGCAAACCTTGCATGGAATTGGCATACTTTGCATACAATATAATTGCTGTCACGCTACTGTCCTGGGCGTAGATTTGATTGTCCCTTTATAGTTTATCATTGTCTTAGGGATCTGGCCAGTCGAGACCCTCCTTAATGGGGTGGCAGTTCAAAGGTTAACCAGAGCTGCCATCTTTGTATGTTGATTAGTGAGCAGCCATTGTAAAGGTTATTTCTGTGCGTGTGTGCGTGTTTGTGTCTCCGTATGTGCTTGTCCTTGTGTGACTGCCTTGGGGCTAAAGCATGTTAGTGCTGAGTGTGCTAAAGAGACATGTACAGTAGTTTGGGAGAATGACTGTGGCACCCTCACAGTTCACACTGCCTTTGGCTACGCTTAACCCCAAGGTTAGGGCCAGTGGAGGGCTTGCAGTGTGCTTAACAACCAACAGCTGCCCTCTTCAGGGTTTCTCTAAGGCTTTCTGCATGCCCCCATCTGCCATTCACTATCCTCACCCAACCCACCTCCCTCCAATGGCCTGTCCTGCCTGGTTGCTGTCTAAGGTCATAATTCTCCTCATCCCCGCTCCCGCCATTGGCTAAAATACCAGCCCTCCTAACAAAGATCACATGACCTCTATAAACATACTATTACAGTAGTATCACCTACATTTAGCTATTATCCACTGTCATTCATACATGCACACTGAGCTATTCATTTCAAACTGTTTATGTCTTTTGGGGTTGCCTTTTGCTCAATGCTGAGCACAGAAACACAAAGACACACTATGCTATATTATCCACTGGCTCAGGGGCAGAAATGTTAATAGGTTGCACATGTCTGTCTATGTTGTGAATGCACCCTAGAAAACTGTGGTTTTTGTCTTTTGTCATGCTTGTCAATCCACAGCTGCAACTCAAAGCTATCAAACACTGGATTTCTGGATGCGTAAAAAAAAAATCAGATGTGGTCTGCTTGGATCACCCCCCTGCCGCCAAAAAAAGAAAGCAAGCAAGACAGCTGAAACTGAATTGGTGTCATCAATTATACCTCAAATGCCCGTGTTATTTCCATTCAGATTTTCCAATTTGTCACTGGTGCAGTTCAGAGATTATTTGATGGTTTTGATGCAGTGTTAATTGACCTGTTGATTCACTTTAATTTGATTGTTATTTTTGTTGGGATTGTGGCTACCTGTTCTGTGTAAAAGAAACATGTGGAGAAACGTAACGTAAATTCATTTATTTAAAAAAAAGAAAAAGAAAAAGATGAAATGCTGGACAGATATATTGAGCCCCCCCCCCCCCGTTCTAATTGCTTAGATGGAAGTCATATCACGAGAGGGGAGTAATATAAGTCAACCTGCAGCTAACTGGGAGGTCAGTTCTTTACATTTCTTATCACATCTGCCTCTGACGGGCTCTGTCTCCTTTGTACTGTGTATCGCTGCACACTTCTTTTTTTATTTTTCCCCTCCCCACTCCCTTCTTTCCTTCTTCCCTCCTTTTCATCTCCTCTCTCCGCCTCAGGGCTTAGATGTATATGTTTCCAAGCCATGTTTATGTTTCAGGAAGGGAGAAGCCAGGATTTAAGCCCCAGAGCGCATGGACTGACAGTGGCTGCAGTAGTCTAACCTGTGTCTTGACGCCGTGCTTGTGATTTATCTGTCCTCCTTTGTGTCCTGCGTGTATTTGTGTGCGTATGTGTGTTGTGAATGTGTGTGTGTGGGGGGGGGGGGGGGGGGAGTGGGGGGAGGTTAATTCTTTTGGCATATTCTTCTTTTGTTTTTTAAGACGATGTGATTTCTCATGCTTTTTTTTTTTTTTGCTTGTGTAGCTGTTGAGGCCAGATTTAGGCTTAGAGAGGTGCGTGTGTGTGCGCGGCATGGGCAGATGATGAGTGGTTTTCATGGGTTTTCTCTGCATTTTTGTGTGTGTATGCACAGCGGGCAATGATGCGGTTCTCGGAGCTGGAGCTGAAGGAGAAGGAGGGCAGCGGTGTGTGTATGACTGCCTCGGCAGCAGGACGGGAGCTGGCAGACGGCCAGTGCGGAGAGAGAGTGCTGGAGTACTGCCAACACACCACCAGGCAGGGAGAGAGGGAGGGTGAGTAACCCAGCACCACACACACACATATACACAAGGCATGCACACACATACATGCAGACACTCTGCAAATGAACACTCACAAAAAAAAGGGACACGCACGCAAACAATAAGAGCGTACACACTCGCTCTCATGCACTTGCAGCAAATGCTGAGGCAAGACCGGGTCACTCTAAAAAAAGACACTCTTCCACTCACACACAGAGACACAGACACACACACACAAGCGTGTCCGTGTGTGCACGCACTTTTACACAAGCTAGGCAGCGCAAGCCAATGAGCGGGCAAGAGAGACAGCGAGGGGGAGTTTTATTTTCAAGAAGCCTTTTGTGCTTATCTGCGCAGAGAGACGATGGCGAGGGGAGGGCAATGGGGGAGAAGGAGGGGCAGGGAGTGCGTGAGTTGAAAATCTGTGTGGGGGGGCGGGATTGGTGGGTGAAAGCGGATGGGAGAGCGCACGGAAGAGCGGGGGGAGATGGGAGCGGGGTAGTTACATTGGCTGGCAGCCCAGCTGTGTGTTGGAGCGAGGGCCGCAGCTGACTGTGAGCCTAATTATGGCATGGAGAGAGACAGAGAGGGAGTCGACGACGAGAGAGGGGAAGGAAAAGGAGGGGGGGGGGGTAGAGTCACGCTCTGTGTGAGAAGGGCGTGGTGCGGTCATGGAGGGGGGGGGGCAGGGAGATGACGAAAAGAGGGAGAGGGAAGAGGGATGGGAGTCGCCATGCACAACATGTGCGCAGGATGTTTTCGTGCCTCTCTCTGCTGGAAGTGTGCACGGCTGCACTGAACCATCAGGCCGCTGGCTCGGCTCGCATCAGATTAAAAAGTCTTTACCTCATCAAAGTTTTACTGCCTGTCTTTAAAGCAGAATAAAAGCGGGCTGGTGTTTAACTGGCATTCTCGCTCCGTCAACCCCCACCAACCACACCTTGTGTCACCCTGTTTCCCTGCTTGTTTTCTGTCTGAAATCTCTTCCCGTGTGTCTGCACCCTTCCCATCATCTTATGTTTATTTTTCCTCTGTTCGCTTCATGTCCCCGTCTTCTCTACTTTGCTCAGGTGTCCGGCCGGCATACACAAACAACAGAGTTCCAGTCCTTCAGAGGTGTGGAGGGCAGAGGGAGCCTTTGTCCCATCCTCATGAAGCCCAAGATGGGGCCAGAGGTCCGGGCCAAGGAGGGCTAAAGGATGGTGTCAGGAAGGGGATGAAAGAGTGCGAGGAAGGTCACTGTATGCCACCCACACTGACGCCATCAAAGGGCTTTCCCGACGAGAGGACTAGCCCTGGCTTTGGGGTCACCAGGAAACGCCCCCTTGGCCTCAAAGCGGAGGACGAGGACACAGAGATGGAGGGAGAAAGGGTGATCCACTTGGAGAAAAGAGCCAAGCTTTGTACGGGTGAGAATTTCACAAACACGCGTGCATCTCGCATGCCTCAAATAGCATCCCCCTTCTGCTCTTCATCCGCTTTCCATGCATCCTTAGAATTCCGCCCAGTTAGTTTTCCTTCACCGTGTGATGCCGAGCATCGTTTCATCCCTTGTTCTTTTTTTAAAAAATCCCACTTTTATTATCACTACTTCCATCCCAATCAATTCCACCTCACATCCGTTCCATCACAACACGCTCTTCCTCCCCTTTCCTGCTCTCTGTCCTGTGTTTCGCTCTGTGTGGCAGCCAGCTCTGAGAAGTGTTTAATCCTGCCTTTGAGCGGAGTGCGAGAGAAGCGACGAAGAGGGACAGCTATTCCCTCTGTCTCTCTCTCTCTCTCTCTTCTTTCAGCACTGCCGTTCCTTCGCTGTGCTTACCCACCCTCTTCAAAGCTGCTCTTTTCTTCTCTTTTCATCTCCTTTCTTTTTTCCCTCATCTGTTTGGGTTTCCTTTTTATTTCTTTTCTCGCTGGCATGCGGTATCGTGCTTGTTCTCCTCGGCACTGGCAGACGAGTCAAATACCCGTCCCCTGTGAATTTCATGGGGGAGAACCCTCCCTCTGCTTTTCCAGCCTTTATTGCTTTGTTTCTCCACCCGACTCTTGACTTCTCTCCCCTTTCACTCCGCAATCTGTCTGCTCTACATCCTGCTCCCTGCCTCTCTTGCCTGGGTGTGTGTCACATGTAAAGCTTAGATGGGGTTTTACCAGCCATAAGAATGTCCTGATTAATGGCCTTTGTTCTTGGTGCTCTGTAGCTTGCATGTCAATATCTACAGTAGTTCTGCACGTTGCAGACGGTAACAATGACGGCTTTAGAAAGCAGAAAACCTTTTAATCCAAATGTCAACTCAGAGACACTTAGAAGAAATCTTTTAAGTAGCTCATAATGCACTTTTCAGACTACCTAGCGTTTTTTTTAAATGACCTTTTTATAATAACCGAGGCTCGAGAGCTTGCTCTTCACATCTTTGCATCGAGGTTTAAACGCAAAAACCATCAAATTGTTGCGTTTGTGTTCATCTGCAGACGAGCGTGAGAAAGCCAGTGCGGACGACGACGACGACGAGGAGGTGCGGAAGCTTAAGGTCTGCATAGAGCTCAAGGGACTGCGACTCAGCAAGCCCGCCGCGGGCGCTGCTTCACCTGATGGGTCCCAAATCAAGCAAGAGAGGGCATGGCCTCAGCCCCGATTGGTTAGCCCTACCCAGGGCCTGCGCGAGCGCAAGATCAGGCCCGGTGAGCACGAGGACAGAGCCGCGGCGCAGCGAAGCGAGATCAACAGGAAATGGGGCTGCGAGAAGCTGCCTAATGGTAAGAGTGAACCACCAGCCGTACAAACCGCCGAGTTCAGCTAGGGTAACGGAAATCTATCTTTGGCTCACGTTTCACTTTCTTGTTGAGCAGTCTGTCTTTAGGGGATTTCCCAAAAGCTGTCAGGGAGCACGAGGGGGG